ATGCATAAATCTGCAAAGAGCAGCAGGTCTGATCAGAACCTGTACATTAAGAAAATCTGTTGGAGCTCACGTTAGAAATTACTGTGAGCGGTGCTTCGTTTCCCCACACGAGCCATCAAAGCTCATTTTAGGGAGTTCCCCACTTTAACCTGTCCTGTACTCACTTTCCTGTTCAGAGGTAAAGTCTCCCTCTCCAACGTGACCAAACGAAAACTTAACTTCTGTTGTTAATAAATTCCTTCATGTTTGTCAGATCGATCATGCCGTATGAGGAAAGCGTGGTTGCAGCTCATACTGCATCAGAATCTCCACCCAAAAGATTTTGACTGTGTGTAAACTGGACCTTGCAACAGATGCGAGCAGACTGCAGCGACCACACACTGAGACACACACGATCAACACAAATGACATAATGATGGACAAACACGGTGCGTTAACAGACATCCAGTAAGAAATAAGAGGCGCGCCCGTACCGAGAGGTCAGTGCGAGCACGTGACTATTGCAGGCGTCGTCTCCGTCCTCCCAGCTCTCCGTTCTCTTCCCTCGCTCCTCTTTCCAGCTGACTGGGGCTCCTCCTTGCTCCAGAGAAAGGCCAGTCTGACAAGCACAGCAACCACATGTTAAAACCATTTTAACAAACATCGGTAAACATTACTGAACAGTCTGATCAGAGTGAATCGTCAGAGTCAGTGTGCACACAAACATGTTTCAGCAAGACAGAACAACATCTCTGACCTTTAACCTCTTCTCCTTCTTCTCTTCTTCCTGCTTCTCGAGCTCGGCAATACGCAGGCTCAGGGCCTCCCAGTGCATGATGGGAAGGCCTAGATTGTCCTCGCCGTAGCGTTCCTGCCAGACCAGCGCTGCCCCCACCAAGTCTTCATCGTCTCCCTCGACCTTGTCTTTGTCGTCGTCACACTTGCCGTAATCATCTGCTTCGTTGCTCTCCTTCTCATCCCGGTGTTGTCTCAGTCGCTCCTTCTCTCCCTCCATCTGGAAGCAGGGAAGCACTGGGTGAAAATGCTCGCAGCTTTACATCAGACAGCTTCAATCACATCCTGATGAATGAAATATTCAACTTCACTGGGATAAAGATTGTTTTATCCCAGTGAAGATTGCATGTAGTCACAATTATAAAACTCGGCCTCTCTACCATAGTTTGCCTTTCGTGGCGTCTCTTTCTGACCCAACCGATCACATGTTCAACCACAACCAGATGGCCCCTCCCCTTCCTGAGCCTCCTGCCAGAGGTGTCTTCCTGTTAAAATGCAGTTTTTCCTTCTTACTGTCACCAAGTGCTTCTTCATAGATCATCTGATTGTTAGATCATAGGCTGCACAATGAGGCACTGAGGAAGGCCTATCATTAACACATTAACCTATAATTTGGATTCAGGAGACAGACACTATCTCTACTTTTAAGATTAG